TCTCTCTGATGAATAGCCAAACTCATGCCCAAAGTCCCTATAGCTTTTTTATACTCCTCAAGTTGTGAACTAATGAGATCTTGCTTATCCTCATTCGGTATCAATGTTGTTAAGGTATTAAGCAAACCTCTTGTAACAATAGTTTGTTTGTTGAGGCTAGGCTTAAAGTAGATACCTAGATTAAGAAAGCAACCAGTTGCATGTAATGGGCTATAAAGTTGCTTATCCCATCTAGCATCAATCACATTAATGTAAGGCATGTAGTGAGACAACCTATTATTAAAATTCTTTTTTATTGTCTCCTTTGCCTTATCAATTGCCTCATACAAGTAGCCATACTTGGCTTCTCTTCATTATCCACAAGTCGAAGCACTCTCACCAAAGGCTCACTGATTTTGACAACTAATATGCAATTAGACCAAAATTCTTTATCTTCCAAGACAATTTCACATATTTCTTTCCCCACATTGCTTTTTGTATACCTAGAATCAACCCATGCATCACTTGTAAACATTTGTCTAAGTTCCTTCTTGAATTTCAACAAACATTGGATGCTCAAAAAATGAGTAGCAAATCTCGTAACAACAGGACAATACAAATCTCTCCCATTTGTCTGGTCCCTCCTCATCAATGCTAGCACCTATGAATGATTATATATGAACTTTGTGACTTTTCTTGCCTTTCCTATAGTAGTATCAATCATAGGAAAGTATCTTACATCAAAAAAATTTTCTAACATTAAGTCAATACAATGGGCAGCATAAGGAAACCAAAAAAATGTGTTGTACTTTGTTTCCAATCTTTTCTCAGCAGCTTTGAATGAGGCATCATTGTTTGTTATAAATTGTACAACATTTTCCACTCCTACTTCTTTCACCGCTTCATCAAACATCCTCTCCAATGTTTCAACATCCTTTATCAAACCAGAAGTGTCAATGGACTTCAAAAACATGCTTCCTCTAAGACAATAAACAAGGAAATTTATTATTAGTTGCTGTCTTTGATTTGTCCATCCATCAGCCATAATTGAGCAACCATTAGTACTCCATGTTGACTTCAAGGATAAAAGCCATTCATTAACCTCCTTTACTGCACATTTTAAGAGAGGACCCCTCAAATCATGGTATCTTGGTCCCATAAATGTGATAGCATCCCACATTGGCAAATAGTATTTTGATTGTGTAGCATTTTTTTTTTTTTGATCGTGTAGCATGAAAAGGCATATTAGCATCATACCACCATCTAGCAATAGCCATCCTAGTAGCTTCTTGTTTTTCTTTTGATTGCAAAGCATTTTTTATAGTTTTCTAGGCTCCAGAAGTTGTCCTTGGTACAAAATAGGAATTAATATTCTTTTTTTGTTGTGCTACATGTGATTGAGATTGAGGGATCTCTTCAATTTCATCATCTTTATCAACAAATGTTTGTGAACCATATTGACTCCCAACCATATCTCTAAGTCTCTTTCTCTTTTCTTTCCCTTTCCTTATCTCACTTAACAATAGTTGCATTTGCCATTTTACATCTACTAAAACTTTTTTGCAAGCACCAATGTTGCCTTTAACTCCGACAAGGTGCTCTTTCAATCAAGTAATTCCACCCCCTTGTATAAGCTTCTCACAATATAGGCATTTTGTTTGATTCCTCTTGCTTGGGATAATCAAACAATGGGCCTAAGTATGATCATCTATTTTAGAAGGGATAGATCCAATAGAATCACCTGTAGAAGTCCCTAAACCACTAGTATTCATAATGATATCTTATAAAGACAACCATCGAGGAAGAAAAACAAATAATTACCTAACAAAAATTAAATGAAAAATATCAGAGCAACCCTGAACCATAGATTTGAAATTGATATCCTACAAAGACAACCACCCATTGAGGAAAAAAAACAAATAATTACACAATAAAAATTAAATGAAAAATATCATAGCAACCCTGCTAAATCTTGACCATCTTCCTCTTATATCCACATGCACATAACATCCAATTCCAAACCACATTATTAAATTCCAACAATTTTCTCGCCAGTACTCATCTCCCTTTTGATCTTTAAATCCCAACATCCCCCTGACACAATTTATTTCTTGGTTCTTGTAAATTGCTAATTAAATCATCAAATTGCAGAGAAATAGAAATGGATCTAAAAATGACAAAACTCTTTAAAGAAATGCACATTCACTAGTAGCACTCAACATTTATTAATAATATTTTGTTTTTGATTTTGATTTTGAACCCTTGGAATTCAACAAAAGAAATGAAAGGCACGACATTAGTTCTAACACGGTAATACCATAGATTTGAAATAAGATTTTGGTAAATGCACACTGATGGAATCAATTGTAATAAAAGAAGAAAGCAAATGAGATCCAATCCAATACCAGCAGAAAAAGTAACCTCAGAATGAAAATGTGAAGATACCTGAGATGAAGCTGGGCTGCTGGAGAATGGTGAAAGAGACAGTAGTGGCTAGAGCTAGACTGCTGGTAGCGGCCACAGTCACTGGACCACCTATAACGAGTGGAGCTCAAGCTTCAAGGACCACTGGATGCTAGAGAACAGAGGGGAGCTTTGCAATCTAAACTTGTAGCGTTTAATGACGAAGTCTAAAGAGAGAGAGCAATGGCTGGACGGTGGAGTTGAAGAACAGAGGAGAGATCAGCTGGATGCTAAAGAATAGAGGAAAGATCATTGCAATCTAACATTGCAGGGTTCAAGTCAAGAAGAAGCCGCCCCTAGCCAAAATGACATCGTTTTGGCTAGGAAATCTTTTTTTTTTTTTTAAATTCTTGCATAATGTACCAATCAAATTTCGGTGTACTGGTCGGTACACGAAATTTCGACCAGTACTCCAAAATTTGATCGAAATTACAAGATTTTGACTAAAATGGAATTCTAACTTATTCTATTTCGGTCTACCCCAAAAACTGGTACATACTGGCGGTACCGACTGATACGATACAATTCAAACTTTCTTGGTTATCAAGGAAGTGCATCCAAAAGTTTCTATAGGTAAGTTTTAGTTGGAGAAAATTTCTCTTGCAATATCAAAATTATCATAAGTAACTAACTAATCTAGTTTTTTTATCTGACTTAGTAATGTGACATATGGGCCACATTTAAGAGATAATTCTAACATTTTCCCACTTGCTTTATATGACACATCAAAAATTTAAAATAGTGAAACAACAATGCAACTTGAAAAATTCCAAAACATGAATATTGATGAAGTTATTTATTAATAGAATACGTCTTTCCAAGTATTACAATACAAGAAATCTTTCATATAAAGTACCTGCCTTA